TCGTATTGATTGTTATTATTTGACTGCAATCAATTTTATGACATTGTTTGTAAAATTTATTTATGAATTATTTTTGTTATATGTACTTATAATCCTGTGCATAATGTAATTTATCTCTTCTTCTTTAATTAAATGTTTCAATAGCAGAAAGCAGTATTCATAAATACTTCGTACACCATAAACAATACAATGTGTTATCATTATCTGTAGTAAGAGATTATTTCTTTTGTTTTGTTATTTTTTATTATGTCTGATATTTGAATCATTACAAGATTTTGTACAAGTTATAATAAACACTATAGACTTCCCTTTCTTTCTGATATATGTAAGATATTTGTTTTTTCCTTCCATTCAACAGATTTTAATTACGACTGTGTAATCACAGTCAGCTTACCACGCAGCAATCATGGAACAAGTGATTGCTTTAAGTACACGGAGTCCATTGTCTTTATTGATAAAGTTCGGGATAATGACCTGGAATGATACTTGCGGTAATGAAAATTGTTCTGGACATGGAGAATGCCACAATGGTACTTGTTTATGCGAGGTAACATTTATAAAAACTATATTATAATTTTTATCCTTATGTAAATATTAAAAACATACTTGTTTGCTTCTCTAAATAATTATCCAAGTGTATGTGTAATTAGTTAACAGTATGAGTATATGTTACATATTTTAAAAGTAATATTTATATCATATTTTATAGATCCAATTCGATGGATTAGAATGCCATGTTCCAAATTTAAGTTACTACATTGCATTCGCAACAATATTCTTTATGTTGGCATTTGTGTGTCTGATACAACTTATTATGTGTATTGTTGCTGAATGGCAAAAAATGAAAGCACCATCTTTTCTTAGAGCTTGTAGGGTCACTACACAAAAAGTTTTGTATTTCATTGTATTTCTGGCCTCATTAATTCGAGGAGCATATTTTACTTCTCCGGTAAGTAAAAAACAACTTCTAACTATATTCAATGTGCTTCATTATTTAATGTATGTTCTACATTAAACAACTGTAATTGTTTTACTTTTTAATAGACTGCTTTTAAGGAAGGATGGTCAAGAAGTTTATTATCCGCATACTATCCACTTGTTTTAAGTGGATCCTCGTTAATTGTATGCTTCTGGGCTGAAGTATTTCATTTGCGGGATGTATCATGGGACAAGCCACAATTTCTATCAAAATCATTTATGGGGTTTGTTGTATTCAATGTGTTGACATATTCTTTGCTATTGGCAGAATTTATTACCGCTCAAATATATTCACAAGAGGATCAGGTAAATTAAACAAAAAAATAAATAATATATTATAGTACAATTATTAATTCCAAATACATACAGAAACTTAATTTTTTCAGAGCTTTCATACCCATATCTTTAACGGATGTTATGCAGTGCTTTTGTTCATTGTTGTGGTCTTTTTCTTGATCTATGGAGTAGAAGTCTTTTTCAAGGTATGTCACCTTATATACACATGAAATGTACAAGTACATTATATTAAAATAACTTGTTTTAGGTTCGAGGTGGATTTTTGTATGACTATCAAGGTAGTACAATTGTGAACAAACGCATTGTCTCTGATTTAAAAGATAATGCTGAGGAACAAGTTACTGCAAAACTGTTCGATCCTGTTCCGAGTACATCGCAAATATCGGAGGAACAACAACAACAAATAAATATGTCTCAATTGCACCAGTCTCGTATTGGATTATTATCACAAGCTTTTATGCTTTTCATTATTGTTGGATTTTTGTGCAGCGAAATGCTTAGCGAATTTTGGAAAACTAAGTGAGTCCAAAAATAATTTAAAAGGTTCATCCTGTATAAATTGATTATTTTTCATTTGCTCAATATTCATTCGTTTATTTTTTTTTTTACAGAGTTCCTCTGTACAGCAGAAATTGGCATGACGTCGTTTTCCGTGTCATTGAGGTTGGAGTAGTATTGTGGTTTCCCTGCGTGTTATGGAATTGTTTTAGGTGTGTATCGGTATATAATTACAATTTGCAACAGAATTTCTTTAATTCAAGTTACAATTATTTTATCTAATAATGCATTCTTTCATATCAAATACATAGTCCAGAACAATTATGGATTTTGAATCCAAAGCGTATTCTGAAAAGACTAGATCACTCAAAGTACGTTAAAGAAATTGAGTTACAAGACAAAAGTGGAGAACAGGACGCTGCACTCTTCTCGGACGGAGCTTCGATTAGTAGTAAAGATTGTTGGATTTGTTACGATAGCGACAGGCAAGATGCTGGCCCATTAATTCAACCTTGCCAATGTAGAGGTGACGTAAGCGCGGTTCACCATAATTGTTTACGTCGATGGTTAGTCGAGGTAGGATATTGACATTTATTTTTTGCTTCTTTTGAACTCTTTTACTGGATATTACATCTATTGTATACATTTCAGAGCTCTGCAAATACTGATAGTCTCACGTGTAAAGTGTGTGGCGCACAGTATAACGTTGAACATGCAGATAGGTTGGATTGGCAAAATAGTATAACTTCACGTCATTGTTTACAAACTATTGCTATTGTTACGACAATGTGTGGGTCTTCAGCTGCAGCCTGGACACTTATTCAATTAGTAGAGGGTCCCATTATTAGAATGTTTGCAGCTGGTACTGCATTATTGGTGATGTACGTGTGTATAAGGTCAGTTTGCAATGTTTTTCTTGATTTTAATATGCGACTTTTTTATACCAGACTATATTAATGGAACAATTTATTTTCAGGTTTTTAAGTTTAAATACAGTAGTTGCATATCAACGTGCCAAAATTTCGTCTTTAAATATTATCAGTTCCGACAATAATGGATCTGCGCATGTTTCAACTATTAGTCACACAGTTTGCGTGGATCTGGTAAAGTCTGAAACAGCTACGATATAATTGAGACTTGCCTATTTTATTTTCATTCATAAAAATAATTTCCAGAGAAAAGTAGAACAAAGTTCTTAAAATTTTAAATAGATGTAAATAATGCGTGAAATTGTTTTACACGCTAAACATTTTTTTACAATTCCGTTCGTTATTTGACGAATTGTGAAGAAATGTATAGCATAATTTACAACTGTTCCGAAGAGAAAAGCGATTGCCAAATTTTCAAGTTTTCGTATATTTTTCGACTAGTCCGTCAGCAAGTTACCGTAAATTTAAGAAATTTTAATTATTTTCGTGCTTTTAGTAGCAAACGATACATTTAGGTTATTAGACGACACTAGCGACATGTTTGCCAGTATAAAAATTCGTGCTACTAAGAGTTGACAAATTTTCGATCTTTTGTTATCAATATCAATAATGTGATAATTGAGAATATAATTTGAGGGTGATACGAATTTAATATTGGACTTAATATTAAAGTTATTTTTTATATTATATAGTATTATTAAAAATATTTAAAAAAGAGAAAGGTTCTAACAAAAGTAATTTTAATAATGAAATTGCTTCGCTTACATCAAACGAGAAACTTCGATTCTGAAATGGCAAATTTTCAACAGTAAAATTAGTATTTCCTAAATAAAGTAGGAATACGTAGAAACAGTGAAGATTGCAGGAACAAGTATGAATACAATCTTAAAGAAGGGGTTGTTATCAATATAAAAGTAACAAGTTCATAGCATGGTAACGTTTATGAAACTACCATATTCTCGTAGATGTTAAAATAAAATACTTTCCTTTCATCGTAAAATGTAAATATAGTAACAATCATATTGCTAAATATATAGATTCACGTTAATAAGAAGAGAATCAACAAAACAAGCGTATAAGAAAACAGATCATTTTGGATTGCAAAATTAAGTTTCAATGAATAATTATTTTTGAATGAGGTTAAATGAACTTATCATCGTTACGAAAACAAAAATATTGAGAATAGTTACCTGTGTTTTATGGACTATTCATTGATTTGTATTACTTTTTAACAGATTGTAGGACTTACATTGTTTCCCCGTTATATGAATTTTATATTTGAAAAATACTCGTATTTCATATGACATTTAGTTTCGTAGAGTGTGTATATAGTACTGTAACTGTAAAGTGATATGTATTTTTTCTTTTTGGAAGGAAGTATACTATGTAATATTATACTACTAGTAAATTTGATTATGTTATATTGGTTTCTTTTTGTAGAAGTATAAAAGCATTTTAGGTGTAATTGATTATTGTAACTATAAATTTAGAGCAGTCATTTATATGGTGGTTCCATTAACAAACTATTAAAGATTACATTTTGTAGGTTATAACAATATAAGTAATTAGCCATCCTGTATTAAAGAACACTAACAAAATATTTGCTTGATATAAGATGGTAAAATATTAATATATACTTATACGACGCAATAAACAATACCATTTTTAATATGGCGTCTATCTTTTTTATTATGAATTGGCTGTATTTGAACTGTATACATTTTTACATTATAAATGCGATTAAATTTAATATAATACACTTTTTTACATCTGAAATTTCAAACGAGACGAATTCTTGTTATTATTTTCATTACTCTGCGGAAAGAACTTAAAAATAGCGCTTAACTTAATTTTAATAAATGTATTGAAATTAGATCGAGTGACAATTATTATGATCATAAAAAGTAACTGTAATTAGATTAATTATCTATTGGGATTAAACTATAATTTAATTTTAATAAAATAGTTTCACTATATTCTCGTAGAAATATGAAATATAAATGTGTATCAATATTAACCGTACGCGTGTTACTGCATGTTCACATAGGAAGAGAAGGAAATAGTGATAAGCTGTGATAATATGAATTGTACGATATTCGAGTAAGTTGACTATTAAATAAAAGAAGCCAAACGAAAGCATGTTATTGATTATTAATTTTATTGTTATGTTTACAAAGACAATACTTAACAATGTTATGAATGTATCAAATTAAAATACTGATTATTAAAAGACAAAAGTAAATTTTCGATTGGTGAATGCGGAAGAGCAGATTATGATAAGGTGTCTGATTTCAGGAATGATTCTGAGGTACCTTTTATTATTATATTATTTTTTTAGATAAGTAGGTACGCTTAAGAAATACATTTTACAAATTAAATTGAATATTTAATAAGTAATATAATTATAGATATACAGATACAACAGAACTTAAAATATCGTTTAATATGAACTACTAATTTGAAGTTTATATTTCTCGACATTAAAATCTGCTCTGACTGTGCAATAATGTTACCTGTTGCCATGTGTAAGTGTAAATATTGCGGCAGGTTACTTCTTGAGGTTGAAGTTGAATATTGAAGGGTAAATTTTAAATGCAATTTCTTTTTGTTCAGCCTACCCTGGAACACATTACACATGCAAAATAACAAATAAAGTATATATTTTGGGACTGTGAATAATTTTGTGCCATTTTCGTAACGAACGGTTCAAATTAAATTTAATAAGTTTTACCTGCAATGCCTGCAATTGCTTCTGAAGCAAAATATTTCACATCGACGTCGCTATCTGTATTGAGCTTATCAAGCACAGGTTTTACTTGAACCTGCACTGCGCTAGGCTCAAGATAAGGTCCTATCTTCTGAAGAGTTTTCGCAACATTAAATCGTACATTAGCAACATTGTCAGTAGCCATTCCGAGGACAGTTGGAAGCATCACTTTCGTCGTTATTTCTGGACCGCATACTTCAGCCAATACCTGTAATAAGGCACATAACAAATGGAAACACGATTTACATATAAACTAAATATTGTATTGTAACGTTACTTACGTTAATACAAAACAGACACGTCATTCTGTGAAGGTAATTTTGATCCCTCGACATTGCTAACACTTTAGGTATTACTGTATTTTGTGCCCACTCGGGTCCGAATTTTTCTACCAATTTTTTCAAATTTAACGTAGCTGCTTCTCTGATAGCATAGACGTGATCCACCAACCAGGTCATACATAAAGAATTTAATTTTTCGTCAAAGAATTCAACTCCAAGCTGTCCAGCTAGTAGCGGCATGTACCTAAAAATGTGTACATATTATATATTTATTATCATCTTGTGTTGCATTTGTAAAATTATGTAGCATGAAAAATACTCACTCTATAATGGCTAATCTTACTCGCCATTTTGTATCCTCAGCTAATTCTACAATAGCTGGCAAAAGAGATTGTGAAAGCTGTTGTATACCAATGACTTCATTAACGCATTCTAAATTACTGATAATATTTAAGCGTACTTCTGAACATTCATCTCTCAGTTGTGACAAAAATAATGGTAGTAGATGTTCGATTGTACTGTGGATTCAGTGAATATTTTATCATCAACATGTAACAGTTTTAATTATAACTTATATTTAGATATACAATATTTACTCACTTATGTTTCCCAAGTATTGGACTAAGACCCATTATAACGCTCGCTAGAGCTGATTTTACATGCTGATTTGGATCTGACACAAGTTCTTTGACTATTGGTAGTATGTTTGTCATGATAATAGATTCTTGACTGAATTTGTCAAGATTTTGACAGAAATCACGAACTTTGTCAGCGGCTGCAGCTCGTACTTCAGCCTCTATATCTTTTAATAATACTTGAAATGCTGGTACGAGATCTGTCTTTGTGATCTCCGGGCCTACCGCTTTTTGAAGCTAAAATAAATAAGAATTAAAATCAATAAACAATCGATATACACATCTATTCAAAGAAACTTACATCAGTGAACTTATCAGCAACCATATAACGCACACGCCATGACTGATCGCTTGCACACTGACGAAGTGTAGGCATAACTAATTGTTCTACATCTTCTTGTGGTAGTAGGGCTGCGATGGTAACACAAGCTTCAACAGCCAAAAGACGCACCGAATCCTATGTGATTTCATATTGTACATATTAACAATTTATAAAATTTACAAATATACCCTTTAACTCTTTGGATGCCAGCGGGCCGTTGCAAAGGGTTCGTGCATCGGCCCGCTGGAACTTTTCAAAACGTTAAATTGTGAAATTTATATATTTTCTTACTTGTTCGTCTTGAGCTAGAATGACAAACATTGGAATTAAATCTGCTTTTACATATTCAATCTCCATAACCTTCGCGAATTCTCCTAAGTTTGAAGCAGCAGATCGACGTGCCATTGGTGTATCATCTTGGCACAAATTACGAAAATGATTTCGTAAACACGCTGTGAAGATAAGACAAACAACTCTATATTTGTACAAGTGAACTTTGCTTTCCCACATTTTTAAATTAAGCTTTTCTTACCTTTCACTGATGGACTAACTCTAGGGTAACAAACACTAAATAGGCCACATGCAGATGTTCTTGACGTAAACCAATCTCCTGTAGCTAAACGATGTATCAAAGGAACAAACTGCTCTTCCAGATCTGTTGAACTGTGTTGAGCAGCAATTGTTCTTAAAGATTCCATTGCTTTGTCGCGAACAATGGTTTCCTCCACTGTTGCTAAAGTCTCTAGAGGTTGCTGAATGAAAATAAATTCTTCATTATAACTAATAAATTAAATAATATACAATTTTCATTCTGCCTTTCAAGGTACATGTAAACATTATACTGTTGTATATTAAGAAATGCAAGATAAGATATACAATATTTTAAATAGCATTAACATTCATAAGATACATATCATCTTCTTAATTACACAAATTTTCATTCTACAAACAATACTTGGAATTATTTACTTTATTTCATTATGACAATATATGTATAAAAATAATTGAATCATGTTCATTGTTATAAAATATATCATACACTTCTTGGATTAGTCATATTTCTCAGAAGTGAATGTATTTCATCATGGTGGTAGCTAAATCATAGGCATAATGGAGGTTATCAAAGTTGTTTATGTGTTCTGATAAACAAATAATCAACATTTTAGTATCTACTATAAAATTTTAAAAACATTAACACAATTTCGTTGGTATTAATTAATCATATGAATACTTTTTCAACATTCTTCCAGAAAATTCTTAGAAGTTGAAAATCTTATTTCTAATGGTACTCTAATTGTATAAGATTATAAACAATAATATATACCAGTAAGACATGTACATATTCCGGACCTCCTACAAGAGGAGTAAACTGCCCAAGTTGTTCAGCCAGTGCTAGTAGGACTTCATCCTCATCATACATAGAATCTGTTAGAAATGGTATCAATTCGCTACGTGTCCGTTCGATGCCTAGAGCAAGAGCAATCGTGGACAATTTTTTTATCGAATTCAACCGTAACTGTAACAAAAGAAATCTCATGAAAGTGCTAAGCTAATCCTTTGCAATTAATTCAAACGAATTCTCAAATGGAATGGTATTCTAAACATAATATTTGTTTGAGTAAATATTTATAAGCTCGAAGCTTTCGACGAAAGCATTATATCATGATTAGTTTATACTGTCAGACGTACTAACGTACAAAGCAAAACGTTGACGGTAAACTGACAGCCGACTGAAAGAATATTTTATTCAGTGGTACGCTACCGCTTTAGCTACCTTGACACTATGTTTTGTCCTGTGACTATGGACGGTGAAACAAGCCGATTGTCGTGCAATCGTGAAATAACGATTATGAACAGTTTTCGAATTACCTGGACATCCTCGTTTTTTAGTTCGTCGATCAAAACTGCAATCGGATAAAGGCTATCGTCTGTGATAGAGTCGCTCGCTGCCATTTTGCTGCCGACCACACCAGAGCTTGGAAACTCCTGTGCATTCAAGTAGTGTTCAAATTACTGCGCCATCTGATGGTTACTACTATTACAGTGAACTAGCGGCATATGTAAAATTTACTTCCTTATACTGTTCGGAGCTAAAATGATCTGTTCCGTTGAGTACCATGAGGCAGGATGAAGAATGCTTCTTGAGCCCGTCCGCGGACTGTTTCCTTATGTCTGCCGCACAACACTTGTCTGTTAGGAATGACTATAGTTTCCACTTTTACTACTAGATGACATTCTATGCACGTCTTGCTAAGCCATCAAGGAAGGGTGAACCACTGAACTATACTAAATTCAGGGATATTAGTATAGTTTGGTAGCTTAATATCAGTGGCGCCATTAGTGGCAAAATGCCCAAGTTTGTAGTAAAAATAATTCCCATCTTTTTTTATAAGATAATGTCACTGATATATGTTTATAAATTATTCTTTATTTCTCATAAATGCATGATTAATACGATTCATTGCTTTATAACACTACAATATATTATTTCAACTTATCAAACATATGTATTCAGGTTTGGGTTCAGACTGCGGACCTGTAATCACCATTTGCAATAAACGTAACAACGTATTTTTCCTAAAATTAACTTCAATTTAAATAAAGTAATAAATGTAATAGACAATCAAATGGCAAGCGCATGTGTTAATATGTTGAATTGTTCATTTTTAAGAATATTTTTGAATATAGTAATGATACTGGTTTTAGTACTAGTAGCGCCATCGGTGGGAAATCGTCCAAGTTTTTAGTGAAAATAGTACTCACTGTTGTCAGATGATATCACTAACTAAAAGGTTAATAATTATTGCTGCATTAAAAAACTATTCATAAAAATGACAAATTTGACATATTAACTAATAAAATCGTGTATTTATCAGAGATAAAAAAATAATTTGATTAAAGTATATCAGTGGCGCCATCTTATAGGAATCGCGAGAACTATTTTCATTACAAACTTGGGCGTTTTGCCACCGATGACGCCACTAACCCTGAAACTCAGTATATTACTAACGTTTTTCGGTGCCCCTACCCACGAGTAAATTTTTTTATGTCAAGAATTGTGTGTCTAATAAATAACGGTACTTGTATATGGATGTAAATCGACAGGTTTTTTTTTTAATAATAAAGGATTTTCCAAAGGAGGGCCATATGGCAGTCTTTTAATAAAACACAAATGGTTCAGCAAAAGCTTCTTTCAGAAAATTCATTGTAATTTCATGTTCAATTATAATTTGTATTAAAGGAGTGTAGTATTTCTATCAATAGGAAAATGAGACAATTTGTTATAAGCAGTTTTTCTTATTCTTCGAAGTTTTATTATATTTTTTGTAGTTCAATTAAAATAATTAAAAAAATAACGTATCTCATCATAATTTTTATTTTCATAAAGCAAGTAGGTATTCTAAGCTAGCTGTCGCCCAGAATTTACGAAATAATTATTCTAACGCTTCAACTTTGTATATGATATCTAATATTGTTTATCACAGTGCAAGTCCATTTTTCTTTTATCTACCATGCAGGTTCCTCCAAGCATGAAAAATAGTCATGTTTTTGGTATTAATGAGGAATTAATTTTTATGACCGGTACAAAAATTGTAACTTTGTTTGAAAATCTTCGAAAATTAATATTATTCTTTCGATTCATCCTATATGACAATTGTTATCGGAGAGTAAAAGTGGAAAAGCGAGAGCATTTTCAAAAACAACAAAGATTAAACGATATCCATTCGATGCCCACCTTAGAAAATAGTCCCAAGTACATAAACGTAAAAAAAATTCACATAAACTTGATCAAGACTGTTCGATTATTTTTCCTTAATTCGTTATGCATGCAAGGTTTACCTGCTATCATTTCCGTCGAAGTTCATAAATTATATGTCATTTGGTATCGTTAAAAAATATATACTATTAGTACACTATGTAGCTCTATACTCGAGGACAAACTGTTATATGAATCACCTGAAATTCGTTGGTTAAAATGAAAAACTATGAGAGATAAGGATTAATGAGTAAGCGTACATTTCAGAGTGAAAATAATAATTTCCAGTCGATAAAGGACAAACTGGAAAAAAACAAATTGTAGGGGACAGTACTATACGTGTAAACTAATGTAATCGTGTGTGGAGAGGTTTGAAAGTTAAACCAGTCAGGGAAATACAGTGCCTTCACATTAACTGATAACATTTTATGACAAATGCCTATATAAGGCTCGTGTCTACGCCATTATTGGGAAATTGTATAGAGACTCTAACTTCGGGAGGTAACTTAATCACTGTCTATTTACACATAATAATTTACACACTTTTGTTTAATTAAGCACTTTGCTAAATCAGTTAATGAATGCAAAATGAAGGCTACATTTAATTTTTTTTTCATGGCTAAAGAAGATAAATAAAGATTCCATTTAATTATTTGCGTGTGAAATTTATTTCCCTTTGAGGTTTATTTATGCCTTTTTAGAGTTGTTTAAAATAAAAAATCGAATTAAATAAAATAAAAATAAAAATTGAAATAGAAAACGTGATTGAACTGAATTATCAACTACAGGAGAAATTCATGGTTCCGCTCCCCAAAATTGTCTTACGATGTGATTTATGAATTTTAATGTAAATAAATAAATTTATTCTGTTTCAGTCCTTCACTGTCTACGGAAACAATAACGTGCCTTTGTCGCATCGGTCACCATGTTCACAATAAATTCGATTGGCGCAAAAGTATTTGAGGATACAATGAACGACTTTGATATAATAAAAAGCATCATCGATACCGACAGCAAAGAGGATCCCTTTTACATCCTCGATGTAGCTGATATAGTAGAAAAACATCGGAACTGGATCACAAAGATGCCAAGAGTTTTCCCTCATTACGGTAAATACGTTTCTTTCGTTGCTTGAATTTTGTTTAAGAAGCAACGATTGATGCCTTTTGAGGATTCAAGAGCGTAAACAGGCGCTTTATCAGCTAAAATAATACCAGTCCATTAGTTTCGATTTTGAAGCTCGATTTTAGCTTCGTTCGTGTCGCAAATTCTGTTTATATTTAGTAAAACAAAAAAAAAAAAAAAAAAACTACAGAAATTTTATAGCGATGGTATAATGACGTTCCTAGTATAAAGAGATGGTGAATCAATTTTCACGACGTAGTAGCAATAGTAGTTACTATACAATACGCGAGACACGTGCATGAGCTTCTGGAATGATTTAGTAAAAATTTGTTAAAAAATCCTCAATGGTCCCAGCGATAATTTTTGTAAAATAATTAATTGGACGCCTTAAACGTCACCGATTATAAAATATGGTCTCGAAAGATATCGAGTACTTGTTAAAAATTGCAGCCATTAAATGCAACTCGCACGCGACGGTCATAAAGGTCTTGGCGGACATGAACACCGGCTTCGACTGCGCTTCTGAAGTACGTATGGTGTCCTTTGGTGTCTTATCTAATCTATTTCCAAGTATCATTCATTTACAACTGCGTTTACATCGGTGGTTCGGAACAGCAAGAAATAGAGCAGGTGTTGAAGCACGGAGTGTCCCCGGAACGTATAATCTTCGCGAACCCCACGAAATTGCCTGCTCACATACGGTTCGCCAAGAAGGTGAACGTCAAAGTGACCACCGCGGACAGCGAGAGCGAGCTCTTGAAGATTAAAGACCTTTTCCCAGAAGCTAAGTAAGGGTGATACGAATTCATGCGATACTAATTCATGAATTTATTCGCGAGACACGTTTTGGAGTAGAGGGTTTCCAAGTATGGGGGGGCTCATTTCAAGATCAATCTTTGAGTAGCTGTTGATAAATGTTCAGAATCGGGGAAGAAATTTCGTGGCACGAAAATCACATACAGTCTGTGTAAGAAGTATTCGTACAGCAATTTAAAATCAATTTAAAATAAAAACTAATAAGAAAAGAAATAGTAAGTTAACATTAAAAGTAATAAACTTTAATTTACGTCTACTCTAAAGATATGCAGGAATGTTGGTAAATTATTTCTTCGCCAGAAAATTGATTAATAATATAAATATATGATGTTTTATTTTGAATCGGTTCCTGTACGAATACTTATTACACTAATTGTACATAATAAATGTATTACAGATTAACCCTTTGCACTCCGAGTTATATTTCAATTTCTTTACCAGCAGCTCCCGACGCTTTCAAGTGTTTTTACTTGAAATTTACTTTAACTAAAAAATGGGGCAATTTAAAAAGGAAGAAACAAATTCACTTAAATACCAGTTTTTTTTTTTTTTTATTTAAGCTTAAATTGAACTCTCATAAGAGAATTATAAAGCTATACATGAGGCTTACAACTAGTTAAACAAGAGATTATATAAATTTATGGGCTTAATGTCTTTCTGTGAAACGTTACGATAGAGTATAAGTATTTTTACAATAAATGGCATTCTATACTTTTACGTTGTTTTTTTTAAAAAGCTGTGGATTATGAGACACGCTTCGATGTTCGGTTTATGGAGCAGTGACTTGACATTAAGTGACGGAAATAGACCGTAAATACCAGTTTTATTCATACTTTTGTTGCATTTTGTAATTTTCAAGTGTATGATATCTCTTGAAACGATTTCCTTTGCTATTGATCTCGTAAGGGTAAAAAACAGTTACCGTTGCCATTTTCCATCGTTAAAATGCCTTTTCCCTTTCTCACAGGATAGTGATTCGCATCCGATGCGACGCGAAGGTCACACAGGTGTGCTTCGGGACGAAATTCGGCTGCGATCCGAACGAAGAGGCCGTTGATTTGATAAGGCTCACGAAGAGCCTCGGATTGACCTTGCACGGGTTCAGTTTCCACGTTGGTAGCCCCTGCGGCGAAATCGCTGCTTACAGCAGAGGTATCGTAGCGTGTAAAAGGCTGATCGCCTTTGCCAAGACGATCGGGTGCAACGAGGTTCAGATGATCGATATCGGAGGGGGATTCTCTGGCGACACTGGCACCGACATCGACCAAGTGAATCTCTTTGTTTATTCGGGGGTGGTGTTTGGAAAGCAAATCATTTTGTTTATACACAGACAGCCTCGTAAGCCCAATTTTTCTATACAGACAGACAGACTCACAAGACCACGTTTTACGCATAGCCATCTCATTCGTGTCTCTGTGTTTATTAAATAAATTTGTGTAAATTAAACGATGTGTTTGGTGCTTCCAAATAAATTTCTCATTATAAATTTATTACATATTTATAATGAAGCATTTATTTAAAAACAAAACTAGCATCTAATTTAGAGAAATTTCTTCGATAAACGTGGAGGGTAGAAATACTTATGCAACTGTAGAAAAAAATGGTTAGTTGCGTCTACAATGAATTATGAAGCATAAGAAAAGCAGTAGTTCCAAGGAGAATTATACAGCGAATCCTGTGTAAGAGGCGCGTGGCTATCACTTCCTGGAACTGCTGATTTTGAGCGAGTACGATCGATACGTAATAAAAATTGCTTTCGACCAGGAGATTTAAAACTGTGACGTTATTAATTAGCTCCCCTATGAAGGGACATCATTATTCCATCAAACTTTGTTATTTAGATAGACCTTTCGACATATCTCTTTGTACGTGAGCTAGATGAATTTTGCAAATACTGCCTCAGATCTCTTATGACTTTATTCTTGTTATTAAGTATAATTCCACATTCTTAGTTCGCCGCTGTCATTAACGAAGCCATCGAGGACATCGATTCCAGCATCAAGATCATCAGCGAGCCAGGTCAGTACTACGTGTCGTCGGCGTTTACACTGGCGTCGTGTTTGCACACGAAGAAGACCTTGTTAAGGGAGGAGAAGCTGATCAGAATGTACTACATCACGTGTGGAGTGTACAGCTCCTTCATAGATGAGCTGTTGAAGTTGAAGTCCCGAATCCCTGTTACATTGTGCGTGGTACGATTATTAACCTATTATTAACCTATTATTAACCTATTCAATTAAAATTTATTTCAACACGTTGGCTGCCAAGCTGAAACTCGTGAACATTTCTACGATCTTAAAATCCTGTCTGAAAATGATTGAAAATTAGATAATTTAATCGTTATAAAATTCACGAATCCTAATCAGATTTATTTTTATTATTGTCTCACCTGCGGAATTAACTCTTTTAATTCCCAAGTTCTGTCACCCATTTCTGGGTGACTTGGCGATCAACGTGTTAGTAGTAGGGGCGTGCGGGATCCCGGTCGGGACGGGAATTCCTCCCGGGATCGGGATGGAATCCCGAGAATTTCAAAATCCCGAATACATCCGGGATTCCCGTGAATTTCCGGGATCCCGAAGTCATTCGGGATTCCCGAGAATTTCGAGATCCCGTAAATGTTCGGGATTCCCGGGAATTTCGAAATCCCGTACATTCGGATTGCTGAAATTTTCAAGAATAACAACACTTTCGGTAATCACAGATATTATTCTATATCCCGTACATTGCCGGGAATCCCGAATATTTTCGAGATTCCATACATTCTCGGGAATCCTGGATTTTTGTGAGATCTCGTGAATTCTCGGGAATCCCGAATCAACTCGAGATCCCGCATAAACTCGAGAATCCCAAATATTCTAGGGAATCCCGGATTTTTGCGGGATCTCGTGTATTTTGGGGAATCCCGCATAAACTCGAGAATCCCGAATATTCTCGGAAATCTCGAATATTCTCGGGAATCCCAGATTTTTGCGGGATCTCGTGAATTCTCGGGAATCCCGAATCAACTCGAGATCCCGCATAAACTCGAGAATCCCAAATATTCTCGGGAATCCCGGACATTTTACGGGAATCCTGAATATTTTCGGGAATTCCGCACACCCCTAGTTAATAGGAGTAAGGGGCCCTTGTGGATAAACGTTAGCTACGTCGTTTCATCAGTTTCTAACTTGTGTATCTCACTTGTTCAGCCAGAAGGATGCGAGACATTTGCTTCGTCTGTTTTTGGCCCCACGTGTGACTCTTTGGATTGCATAGTGAAGGATGTGCTATTGCCAGAGCTCGAGATTGGGGACTGGTTGGTTTGGAAAGATATGGGGGCGTACAGCCTAGCCGCTGCTTGTCCATTCAATGGTTTCTTGCCACCCACGGTGTTTCCATTCGTGAGGAAACGTCAATGGTTAGTAAAAACATATAAATTATTTTTATAAAATAAATAAGAGAGGAATAATCTGGTAAATTATGGTTGAATATTTGTCGATTTTCAGGACAGAGATCACTGAGTTCATAAATTCACTGCCAAGATCGGAGAAGAACACTGATTAGGAAAGATTGACTAGAAAATTAATTAAAAATCTTGAAAACGTGCTTACCTAAAGGAGATTTGTGGTTACCATAATATTCCGTCCTCTAATTTGTAATAATAATTTGTTTCAGAAATTCTTAATAATTGATAATTACATACAAATATTTAAACGAGACGTGAATGTTACATTTGATAATATGCAGATTTTTAGCTAATTTACATAATACTTTGCAGGTCGTTACTCAGACATTTATTCCAGTATATTATTCACGTTTATTTCAATATTTTACCAACATCGTATGAATAAATTTTCATACAGGAATTCCCTTTGGGCACGAAGATGATTAGTCTAAATATTTTTGTGAGAAAGGTAGTCATCATGAACACGAAGAGTATACACACTTTATCAAATTTTCTTTATTTCGATTACAATAGGAACATACAGAATGAGAAAATAAATCTTTCGCCATATGTCGCGTAACATCGTTTGCCTTAAATAAATCATTAAAAATTCTCATCATTCGTCGTAACGTTAAGCCCGTGCCATCTGTTTAAAAAGAAATAAATAAAATTATTGTATTGTAACAATAAAAAGATCCGTGTAAAAAGAAATAAATAAAATCAAAAAATTGTAATAACAAAAAAATGTTCGGCAGTGTTACTCTTACTTACTCTTTCGCAGTGTTGCACGAGCCTGGCTTCATACCACTGTTTAATTCCGCGTTGTACAAATCCATTCCGTTGATGATATCTTCTCGTGGGGGCTCCGATGCTAACATATCTCGGACCTCGATGTGACAGAAAAAAAAAATGAATGAATACAAAGTATATTAAAATTTTGCTAATCGTCTAATGCGACGCGATCATCTTTTATTTACCAATTCCACAGCTTTGAATACGCGGATTAAATTTCTGCCGGCTAGTTTCTCGAGTTCTTCTTTCGTCCATCTTGGCTCCACTTCGCTTTCATAAAGACGATCGAAAAGATCTGTGTAGGTGGAAACGTCATCCAACCCCTCGGGCATCCTTGACAATTTTATAACATGTTTCGAATTAATTGGGTTGAATTTTAGTTAAATTTTTTATGTAGTCTGTGTGATCGAGGATGAAAAATTGTCCTTTTGTTTAGGAAGGGTAATTGTAGTCTTGTTTGGCTTTATTTTCTATTTTAATTACGTGACAATTATAGTATGGAATTTGATGTCTCTTATTTCTTATATATTCTAAAAGTGGAAAATGAGAGATAAAGAATTCTTGTGAATGAATTAATGATACCGAGTACTTTATAGATATAGAAGTTTAATTTTTATGATTAATGAAATACTCACGACTCCACGCCGTCATAGTCTGCTCCAATACCAACGTGGTCCGCTCCGATAAGATTGCGAATGTGATTTATGTGATCTATAAAATTCGTGATAACGATATACTTTGGTTAGTGAAAAGTAAGACGGTAAACTAATTGAGATAAAGTGTTACAAGTGATACACTATCGGCTACTGGAATTCTAATCAAACCAATAAGTATTATGCTTTCCTATACAAAACAAAAATCCATGTATGAATAAATATGTTATATAATTTATATAAATTCGATATGTTTCACGTCACTTGTGCGTGTTATTAAAAATAAAGTATCTCATTTTAAAATAAAGATGAAGCAAAAGCACGATAAGACAGAAAAAAAGAAAAATTAAATAAAACAGGATAGATATTGCAACACAGAATAAAATAAAATTGTAATCATACATCGTGTGTATATAAAAATTAATTTAAAGAATATAGTACTAATTATTCATACCTATGACATCCTGCATCGTCGCGTTTCTAGAGGAGTTGCAGTTCACGAAACCAGAGTAAAAGTTCACCATCACGACACCGTTGTTATTTTTCTGAAAAAGCATTCCTAATTATGTTTCACGTATCGTTAAAAGATGCCCAAGTAGACTGAAGAAAAATCTTACGACTGAGTGGAGCACGTCGTCGGGAACATTACGATAATGGTTGCAAACGCTGAACGCTGACGAATGCGAGAACATAACAGGAGCCTTTGTTATAGCAAGGACTTCCCTCATAACGTTGTGGGAGACGTGCGACAGGTCTACCATCATTCCCAGTCGATTCATTTCGTAGACAACCGCCTGAATTGCAACGCAGACATTGTAAATATTTATGTAATGAACTTGATAAATAAACGAAACAATAAAAAGCTTCAACCTACAGCTCCAAAGTCTGTGAGGTTGTGGACAGAACCATCGTTTACTGGCGATGCATCAGCCCTGAAAGGATGACAATTGGTATTAATCGTTGAGTTATGTATTCCATCTATCTATTAACACGTTGATCGCCACGTCACCCATATGTGAGTGACAGTGCTTTTCGCTGAAAAACAAACGAAATCAATTCTGAATGTTAAGCATCAAAGAAAATAAATTCGAATGAAATTCTTAAACTTCAATGAAGTCGTCAAAATAAATACCGTAATAAATGTTTGATTATGTAGTTTCCGATGGTCTGGAAACAAAACCTAATCAAAGTAGACATTTTCAGGATTGTTAGTCTGGCAGTCAACGTGTTAATATATTTAAAATATTAAAAAATAAAAATTAAAATATATTATTCCCTTTTTCTCGGTTGTTTAAGATCGATGATTCCGATCAGAAGATAAGATATATTGCTAATGGTTTGAAGTTTATTATTGAGCTAAATGAAAATTTTTGCTTGATCCTTTTTTATCATACCACGGCGTGTTGCACGAGTGAGTCAATGTAAGGTAGCGCACACCGAGCTGATAATAGAGCCTTAGAACCGCCAAACTGGAATCGATGGAGTGGCCTCCTTCGACGCCAATCATCGAGGCAATTTTTCCATTTTTAAACGCTGCCTCGATGTGGTCGGCCTTGGTGACAAATTGCAAATCGTTCGGGTATCTGGCTACCAGTCTCTGGATGACATCGATTTGTCGCAACGTCAGTTGTACCGCGTCTTTGAATTGCGAGGCGCACGATACGTACGCAACCCAGAACTGAAATTCACGTGTTCCACTCGTTATTCTATGTAAGTCGCGTGAAACGAACCAACCAAAATTAAATCGAACCAAAATATTTGTAATTTTGGTTTGGCTAGAATTATTATTATATTATATTATTAATATTAGAAAACTTTGAGGAAATTTTCATGGCGAAGCTTAACGTTGAATAAAAAGATTTTGTAGATACAGAAGGAAACGTACCTTAGATTTAATTTAATTTAAATTTAATTTCTGATATGTGTTTATAGATATACTCGACGATAGTTAATCTTATTGACCGTGGGTTGGTAGAAATATAGAAGTGTATGAATTTTCATTATGAAGTTTAACGTTTACTTAAAAAGATTTCGTATACAAAGAAGCTTATAGTGGTCGATATTTAAATTTTGTGTATTATTAATGACACGAAGGTTTAACGACTGAATAGTGTCTGAATTGAGAGAGAAAACGAAATATCAAAGAATGACGCTGCAAAAAAAAAAAACTAATTAATAGTTCCACAACGCGAAAGATAAAAAGGAATTCCTAGATATTGTCTGTTTATCATATTCGCATGTTTCTGACTCACTTGTCCGCCCACTTTTCCCTTCCTCAATCGAGGGAGATCTGTAAAGCAGAACTCGCAAGCGCTTTTCCCCCAAGTCGGGTCGCTGCTGAGATTCTTATCGAAATCGAATCCCTGTAACTTGTTGTTCAACTTCGAGTACAAATTGTATGGGAAATCGTTGTGTCTGGAACAAAGACAGAACAAGTATTTCCATTTATCAATCTATACCACTTGCAAATCTTAATTATCAGAATGCGTTCTTTTATTAATTACAAATCGAAGGCTTTCATTTACATTTTTCATTCAATTACAAATTATTTAGTGACTCATAAGAAATCTCTTTATTTATTTTATCTTCGTCATCGCGACAAGACGCATTCTTTTATAAACTACAAATTCAAGGCTTTCGTTTATATATTATATAATTATCTAGTGAAATATAAGAAATCTTTTCGTATACAGTACAAAAGTTACAAGACCTCGGATCATTCTAGCCTCCACTTATAAAAACGATAACAGAGTATGATGAGATTATTTTCTGTAATGTGTTCACTCGATTTAAATGTATCATATATAATACCGAAACGATGTTTCGAAAATTGTTGTCGTTTACCATTGCGATATAGTAGTCTGGTATGTTTCAAACAATAGCAGAAACCGTCTCGTAGAAAATTATACTATATCATACTAATGTTTAAATTATAACATAGATTAATCACGATACAAAATTGAAACAAAAATGTGAAAGATTATGTCGTTACCCATAGTGTCCGTTAGGAATTTTGTTATTAAAAAACCCTAAGATTCCAAAGCTCTCATCAGAAAATCCTTCGTCTCAAAGAATACGTACTTTAAATGTCACTGTACTTACCAATCACTTTTGCACCAATGCAACCACGTTTATTCTGTCAATTTCTACGGTTATAGGGGAACACTTACCCGTCGATAAGTGGCGCAGAGTTGAGGACATCGCTTCCTTTGAAGTTACCAACGCTAAGCCCTACGGATAGGCCAACTACGAGCAGCAACACCGAGATGCACACCGCAGCGTTCAAGTACACCATCTTTCCAGTGCAACACGTCGCTGCGAACTCTGAAAAATAATTCAGCAGCAATTACTTCGGCACTGAGGCTTCCTCTCACTGGCCAGTTAATTTATAGAACAGATAGAAAGTGACAAATGCGAATCGATTTCTTATCTCTGGAAATTTCGCATCGATCAATCACGTGCAGCGACGGATATCGTGCTAACTCAATCTGGAAATTTATGTTTGTATACACGCGCGCTGGAGAGGATTATTTTGTTTATAATTTCAATGGGAAAAAGAAAACAATTTTTGGTATAAGCGACAAACGACAAGAGTTGTACGAATGATATGGTGTTAAAGGTTTTACTTGTGAATATCTCTAATTAATTAAAAACTCCGCTGATCGTATCGATACGGGTCAATCAATCTATGTTGATAATGACTCTGTCGAAGATGAATCTCAAAGTTTCCTTTCGCGAAGGTGACGATGAAATGCGCCGAATTAATTTGTATTAATCTATCAATCATGTCTTATAATGTTAAAAAATGAATTTAGAGTATTATAATCTGCTTTAAAATTAAAATGTCAAACTGTGAAAATTGCAAGTAGAAATGTTTATATATAATTAAATACAGAAACTGATAAATTAACGAAGAATTTAGATATAATACTTGTACACAAACATATGGTTGCTCCTTGTATAGGTTCGCTGTACCGTAGAGATACGCTGTAACTTGTTACGTTACTTTCTAATTCGTAAATATTACAGGTATCGCGATATATTTCTGATAAGAACACAATCCGTGGTTTATATTACGTATGAGAGGATAGACGAGAATTTCCCGAGAGAAAAGACACTATCGCGACTTCGATAAATTTGATAAAAGTAATAGCTTTCTATTACATCACGCACGGCTCGTTCCTCTCACTTAGCTTGTAGAAATCGTTCGTTATACTCTCAATGAACTCTTGCAACCAACTGACTCTCCAGCAACTCTTTTCGACAATAACATCATCAACATCCCTCTCGAGCGCGCACATACACGTAACCGACTCAACAACGCACATTCTCCGAATTTTGTTACATTAATTAATGCGTTTACGTAAATTAATATACGCCTATGTAGTTATTTTATTAATAATCGTTTATAGCGATTGTATTCACTGTTTGTTTAAAATATATTTTGCAAGGAAACGTCTACCGTGTACCACAATAATGTAATAATACGTAGTAAAGTACTTAATATATTACTTAGTATAACCATCATTACAAAGGCTTCATGATTTTGTTTTTCAATTGAACATAAATAGTTTAGAACATATCCTATTTATACACTTTAACAGTTTTATTCCAACAAGGACGTAACACAATACAATAATATTTTCATTTTAATTTCACCAAGGCGCGCACAAAGAAAATTAATTGTCTCCAGATAAATTTAAATTAATAACGAGATAACGAATGATTACATCGCGATTACGGTAATTAATTAACGTGATATAATATAACAAACGTCGAACCGTTCCAAGTCGAATGACCAATAATCGATTCATCCATCTCAAAACGTAAAACAGAACGTTCTTTTGATGACACTGTTCACGTTCGTTCCTCGATAATGACTCGCTTCGTTATGCCTTTAGTGCGAATCTTTTACAAGTGCTCGCTGTTTATCCTCTACTTTAAGCGCATCCAACGATTTATTTGCGGTACCTGCTTCTCCTCACTTCGACGTGGTTCGACGAGTTTGATCCTTTATTTATTTAATGGATGGAGAAGGATATCATATACGTATCATATTCGTGCGCGAACATGAGAGATCAAGAGAGTGATCAAGTGCTTCGCTTTTATAGGCCAATAAAAGCATTAACTCTTTGCGCTCGTATTTTCCTTGGGCATAGTAGTCGCACTGGAATTACTTTTTGGTATATCGAGTTCAGTAAATTGTTGCTTAAAAGACGTATAAATTGTATTTGAACTAGTTCGTTTAAGCTGTACATATTATTATTTACATGGGTATCATTTACTATGATATATTTTAATATACACATTGTAAAATTATAAATATTATTATTTCTTTTGCTAAAAAGATCGTTGTACTTCCAATTAATCCAAAATGCTTAAACACAATATCGTTAAGACAATTATGTCTGCGTACAATTACGTATAAATTTCATATTTTTATTATTAAAGTAGATTTACCGTAACTGTTACAGAAAAAATAAATCTTAGTATCACAGTAGTATTCTGGTTTTTATGTACATTACACAAGATAAACTTTCTACACAACTTTATCGAATAATACTGCTTACGATGTTCGATTAAATTTCGCGCGCTTTTTCTGCGATCATTTGAACCGGTCACGTGATCCATCAATTTCGGCGCGCACTTGTTGCCTTCAATTCATTCCAGTTGCCTCTTTGTTAGTGTGACAAAATGTAGTTTATAATCCTCTGAAACAATATTAATATTGGAATTAAGGTATGTACAAATGCGATAAACATTCTTCTTCTTTGTAATACTCAATATTGTTGCCATACTTTCATTGTAACGGAGGTTTATGACTTTTTAACCTAGTCAGTGAAACTTTCTTGATGACAAGCCGACAAGTAATTGCGTTTCATTAATATTCTAATGGTGTTAATGTTTTTAATAAAGTTTGATGAATAACGACGAATTGTTAACTAAATGGTAAGTGGTTAAATAATAATTTCGTGTTTAATAACGTCAATAATAATAATACTAGGAAATGTCTACGTATGTAAGGTTAGAATCGTTGAAATCGAAAGGAATATGTACAGAAAACTCTTGTTATCAAGTTAATTTTCGCTTCATTATTGATAGACTGATCTTTTACAGAATATTTCATGTAAAGGAGGAAACAAATTAAAGTAACAATGGCAGACACCGTGTATAGATATATGAAAGTGCAGAATAGACCATATAGTGTTAATGATATAGTGTCTAGTTTACATAACGAGTATGGTAAAGTAGCTGTTCAAAAAGCTATAGATAAGCTGGTGAACGATGGGAAAATATTTGAGAAGGTAAGGATTAGTAGTATAGAGAATAAAAACCAAGGGATATAACTAAAGAGATATTTACATTAGGTCTATGGGAAGCAAAAGGTTTATTGTGTAGTTCAGGACTTAAATCGTGATGTTGAGGAGTTGATGAGGATAGATAAAGAATTGCAGTCACATGCTAACGAAGTCGAGAGTCAATATCAAGCATTGGAAAACGAGATAAAAAAACAGGAAGCTTTCCTAGCTTCTATCAAGTCTAGCATCACAATTGAAGAAGCAAAGCAACAAAAAGCTGCACTCAAGGAGGATGTTAATGTGCTAACGCTTAAATTGGATGGGTTGATGGAGGCAAGTGGTACAGAAGATTTGAGCGAACGTAAGAGGAAGGCAGAGAGAGCATTCAGTGATTACTCACGCGAATATGCAAAACGAAAACGTCTGTGTACCGAAATTATAGATTGCATCTTGGAACACTATCCTGGGACTAAAACTGAGTTATACGAGGAAATAGGCATGGAAGTAAAAATTGTTAAGTGACACCAATATTATGACATGTTCCATGATATTTAGATATAAGTTTATATTTTTATATTTAATATAAGTAACTGTTTAAAAAAGTTAACTATTTATTATTACCTGAAAATGCATTTTCTACTGATACTCAATTTTCCTAAAACATATAATTAATATTACTAGTTATGTATATGTATTTTATAAGGTTACAAAGTTTAATAAATTAGAGGAATTTAATAATAAATAAAACTCTACCTCTACACACTCGCCCAACTTCCTCATCAACACATACCGGAAGTGAATTTCGATACCGCTTGGACGATAGAGTGTTCATGTTCGAAACTTATTAATTGAAAATTATTAGATCTATGGAGTTCTAATGTTTAAAACGTGTTTTTTAATTTCGGTAATAATTTCGGCGTATATTTTAACATATTTTATTAATATGAAAAAGACAAAAAAAGCTGAAAAATTATGGCTTTGTGTCGATATCGTTGGAACACTAAATTTATTACCTATAATCCTCAATTCTTTCAGACTTAACACTGTTCTTGAAAACTTTAAAAAACTTTTTTCGATGCTTTTACTTGTTACAGTCACTTATAAGAAGTATCCTTGCTAGAGCTTAAACGATACAAAAGAGGCAGAAGTGATAGTCAATTTTTGCAGTGCAGTGTTGTGTTTCCTGATCGACCCTATCCCTTCCTTAAGAGAAGCATGAACCATAAACGTTACAGCCCTGGATATCATCGGTTTCGAGTTCTACGTGGAAAAGGATCCGATGTTCTCCCTGGAGCTGAATTAAGAGCACCACCAGGTATTTAATAAAAATTAATTTATCTATCATTAAGCTTAGGTTGACGCCCGAAGTATTAGGCTGTCTGGAAAGTTCATGGCGCTTTTTAGTAGGCGGCACAGGATCTGAATATATCAGAATAGCTGAAAACAATTAACATGTGTACATTCCTTAAAAGGTGGGAAGGTTGTGGAACAAAATGGTACATATATCATTCAATAAATATACATTAAAATTCAAATATACCTTTGAATTTTTCTTAAAAATAGGCACGAACTTTCCGGACAACCCAATACCTTGATTCGTGATCACTAGATTGGGGATGTTTATGCATTATTTGTAGCAAGTGAAAATAAGGGAAAATTTATGAGGATGTTGTGTCTTTTCGCTCGTTACTATTAGGTTGTCCCGAAAGTTTCTTTCGCCAGTTGCACTCAATTATTTTATGTGGTCGTGTTTATAGAAATAGACGATCTAATTTCATAGATATTCATGTTGTAACAGTAATGGAGCAAAATGAATCGTGTACAATTCAGTAATGTAACATAAAACATAAAATATCGTGCATGTATTACTTATTAATAAAGCGAAAGAAACTTTTAGTACAACCTAATATTTCGCAGCCATTAGCTCTCGATATTATTCGCGACGAAGGATTGTTTAAAAAGCTATCTAAGTCGCGAATAATACCGATTACCAGGTCTCACCACGTGGAGGTTGCTGCGAGGAGACCCGGAGATAGAAGGAATCAAAGTTCCTTCGATCTCCCTTTATATAGAGTATACATACATAGATGCATACTCTACATAAAGTCGACGAGCTTAATACTAAGTAGGAAACCGTGGAAATCAAAGAAAACAAACTCCCTTTGATTTCCAAAGTCCATGTCTGACTCTGCCAAATAATTATTTGAACTAAATGGAAGCTAAATGGAAATCGCGACACGACGCGACCACGTAACTGGACCTACTGAGTCAGTTCCGTTTCCTCCTGATGGATCTGACTCGAGAGGAAGACGACCGACGCCTCCGAGCCAGTCCTCCACACCCAGCACCCCGTTGGGAGCCACTATAGGACCCGACTTGCACCCGTCTCACTGCGCTTTGGACTTACTGCACTGCGCCGGGAGCCTTGGACTACGTGATAAACGTGATGCAGGAAGTAGAGAACCGATCCGGAGGAACCGATTGTCGTCCTCTCGAATCAGATCCACCAGGAGGACGGCAACCGACCTTTCTGTCTAGTTACACAGTTGATCACTACACTTATCACATGAAGTAATAGTGATCGAAATGGAGAACGAAGTTGCGAGTCCAATATGGACCTACGAACAAACAAAAGAAGTTGATTAATAATTCTTTCGTAGAGGACAGACACTCGTACACGCATGCCTTAAAACTAACTTAACCATGCCTTAAAACTAACCAAACCAAACTAAGCTACTCACACCTATCACCAAGCAAACTAAGCTACCCACAACCAATAGGACGGACGCGAGACACGGACGCGCGATCGCGAGATCCATATCGACCGATGGATCGT